ACATCATGCAAAATGCTGGGCTGGATGGAGTACAAGCTAAATTCAAAATTGCCGGGAAAAATACCAATAACCTCAGATATGCAAATGACACCACCCTTATGGCAGAAAGTGAAGAGGAACTAAAGAGCCTCTTGATGAAAGTGAAAGAGGAGGGTGAAAAAACTGGCTTAAAACTCCACATTTAAAAAGATCATGCTCAGATCATGGCATCTGGTCCCATCACTTTATGGCAAATAGATGGGGAAACAATGACAGTGACAGATTTTTTTTCCTTGGGCTTCAAAATCACTGCAGTTGGTGACTGCAGCCATGAAATTCAAAGACGCTTGCTCCTTGAAAGAAAAGCTTTGACTAACCTAGACAGCATTTCAAAAAGCAGAGACATTACTTTGTTGACAAAGGTCCATCTAGTCAAACCTATGGTTTTTCCAGTAGTCATGTATGGATGTGAGAGTTGGACCATAAAGAAGGCTGAGTGCTGAAGAATTGATGCTTTTGAACCGTAGTGTTGGAGAAGACTCTTGAGAATCCCTTGGACTGCAAGGAGCTCATCAAATCAGTCAATCCTTAAGGAAATCAGCCCTGAATATTCATTGGAAGGACTGATGCTAAAGCTGAAACTCCCAATACTTTGGCCACCTGATGTGAAGAACTAACTTACTGGAAAAGACTGATGCTGGGAAAGATCGAAGGCAGGAGGAAAAGGGGACGACAGAGGATGAGATGGCTGGATGGCATCACCGACTTGATGGACATAGGTTTGAGCAAGCTCCGGGTGTTGGTGATGGACAGGGAGGCCTGACGTGCTGCGGTTCATGGGGTCGCAAAGAGTCGGACACGACTGAGTGACTGAACTGCATGAACTGAGGGATGTTTGGGGATGAGACAGGGGACAGATGGCAACACAGGTTCCCAAACACCTGCTTTTGTCCGGGACCCCCACTCCTGCTGAGATTGTCAAGCAGAGTTACTGGTCCGAGGATGAGGTTGTACAAATACTTTATTGCTTTGACTCCCAGGCCTAGTTCAGATTTCTGATGACAGAAACTGGCCAAAGTACAGAGTTGCTTTTCCTGAGCTCAGATGAACCTAGGGCTGGGAGCCAAAGCAGGCAAAGTGTTCCCCACCCAGGTCTAAGTCATGGGTATCTTCTCTCTCCATTTGTGGAGAGCAGCCTTCTCAGGGCCGGCAGATCCTAGCAGTTTTCTCTGCAACCTCTAGAAGATAACATCATCATAATAGAGAATTACTGAGCATTTCCCACATGCTGTACTTTTTTCTTTTTTCAGTTGGAACCCTTCAGATTTTATATAACTAATATATGCTCATTACAGAGAAATTAAAAAACTCAAGTAAGTTAAAACAATAAAAAAAAAAGAAGCTCAGCAGCCAGAAATAATAATTCAGATTTTTCTGAACTATTTGTCTCTATCCAGTCACAAAAATGAGTATTTTGCAAGTGGCCAATTCACTTAATATGTTGCAAATGTCTTTCTCTGATAGTAAATGCCAGTGAGCACACTTTTATGCCATCATTTCTAAGAGTGCAGCAGTATTCCATTCTGTGGATGAGCTGTCATTTATTTTGTGCTAAGTGCCTTAAATATATCATCAGTTAATCCTCAAGGAAGTAGGTACTGATAGTATTCTTACTTTTGCAAATGAGGAACCTAAGACACAGTGATATTGAGAAAATTGCTCAAAGACGTGCAGCTAACATGTGTTAAAACTTAAACCCAGATCTGTCTTGTGCTGTGCTTTCAACAGTGAAGTCGCTCAGTCGTGTCTGACTCTTTGTGGCCCTATGGACCGTGGCCTACCAGACTCCTCCGTCCATGGGATTTTCCAGGCAAGAATACTGGAGTGGGTTGCCATTTCCTCCTCCAGGAGATCTTCCAAAGCCAGGGATTGAACCTGGGTCTCCTGAATTGTAGGCAGACGCTTTACCGTCTGAGCCACCAGGGAAGTCTATGCTCTCAAAAAGACATGCTTTTCCAGAAAGTTCCACTCCCACTCCACCAGCACTGTGGTGTCTGCTACCATGGCCTGACTGTTTGAAATTGATGATGAAGTGCAAGTACATTGGGTGTTAGAAATAGAGAGGTGCCTGCTGCTCCCTTTAGAAGCCATCCTCTTCTTGACTGTTATCCCATCACCAGATAGTCATCGCTAAACTTTTTTGTTGTTCAGTTGCTAAGTCGTGGCCTACTCTTTGCGACTCCACGGACTGCCAGCAGGCCAGTCTCCTTGTCCTTCACTATCTCCCAGAGTTTGCTCAAATTCATGTCCGTTGAGTCGGTGATCCTCTCCAACCATTTCATCCTCTCTCACCGGCTTTTCCTTTTGCCTTCAATCTTTCCCAGCATCAGGGTCTTTTCCAATGAATTGACTCTTCCCATCAGGTGGGCCAGAGTATTGGAGCTTCAGCATCATCAGTCCTTTCAATGACTATTCAGGACTGATTTCCTTTAGGATGGACTGGTTTGATCTCTTTGTAGTCCAAAGGACTCTCAAGCGTCTCCTCCAGCACCACAGTTCAAAAGCTTCAGTTCTTTGGCACTCAACCTTCTTTATGGTCCAACTCTCACATCTGTATATGACTACTGGAAAAGCCATAACTTTGATTATATGGACCTTTGTCAGCAAAGTGTTGTCTCTGCTTTTTAATATGCTGTCTAGGTTTGTTATAACTTTCCTTTCAAAGAGCAAGCATGTTTTAATTTCATGGCTATAGTCACAATCTGTAGTGATTTTGGAGCCCAAGGCTTATGCCCCAATTAATTGCTATCTTCAAATGCCTCAGTGGTCAACATAGGCTGAATGCTGCTGAGGTCAAGTTATATATAAGGAATACAAAGTGAGTGTTAGATTTAATGACGAGAAGGCTGTTGATGACTAAGGTGAGAGCAGTTTTGCTGTGGTGGTGGTACAACACCCCGTTTGCAATGAAAGTCAACAAGAGAAAGACCAGTGGCTATAGTGGGGTTGTGGCTTTGAGGGGAGAGGCATTTTGTTAGGATGGAAGAGACTTGTATAAGTGCCACGTGGCCAGTGTTGGTAGAGAAGAACTGGGTCAGAGGTTGGAGGTAAGGATGGAAGCCACTGAGGAGGAGGGGGGAAAGAGTCCTGAGCAGAATTGGGGGAAGGAACAGCCTCTGATGAGGGAGGCCTACTTTTCCCATTGTTTCTGGAGGAAAAACGGAAGTAGGAGTTTTTTGTGGCAGGAAGTTGAGGGATTCTTGGCTTATATCTGCAGTTTTCCCATGAAGAGATGACCAAGTCTTTACAAAGAGTGAAGGGGGAGGTTTTGAAGTGGGACTTAGAAGCTTTCAAAACTTAAAACTTTGCATTAACTCATGAGAAATGGGTAAGAGAATTGACTAAGCAAGTATCCAGAGATTGCTTGGCAGTGTTGCGGGTCCAATTGTAGAATTTATGGTTGCAGTGTGTTTCCCTGGTTTTGTTTTTCCTCCAGACAGTGCCTAAGTCTGGAAAAGCAGGCAGTAGGTGGTTGCATTTTTGCCAGAGCTGTATGAATAATGGACTTCCCAGATGGCGCTAATGGTAAAGAACCTGCTTGCCAGTGCAGGAGACATAAGAGACACATATTCAATCCCTGGATTGGGAAGATCCCCTGGAGGAGGGCATGGCAACCCACTCCAGTATTCTTGCCTGGAGAATCCCGTGAATAGAGGACCCTGGAGGGCCACAGTCCATAGGGTCGCAAAGAGTCAGACAGGACTGAAGCGACTTAGCATGCGCACATGCACGCATGAATGGCAGCTCAGAAGGGGCATTTAGGCTATCAGCAGGTAAGAGGTTGAAGTGATTCATCGTGGAACTGACAGCTGAATGAGGAAGAAAATAAAGACAGGAGTGGATGGATTGTCAGGAACTGTAGATCCCCAGGCTGAATAAGCACGGGTACTGGGAAATGGAAGAGTCTGGAGGTGCCAGTTAGCAAGGGAGATGTTTGAACTTCAGCGTGATGGCAACATCTGTGGAGAGGCCGTGGGCACGGGGTGAGGTGCTGTTGGCTTAGAGGTGAGTGTTGTGTGTGGGAACAGCTGGGTCTTGAGGGCACCCCAGTTATGAAGCCTGAGAAGCTGGTACCGTCAGGGAGTCAGGGGAAGGGCCGCAGTGTCCGCGGGTGACAGCGTGAGGAGAGGCAGAGAGGTCTGTGTCCTGACGGCGGGAGCCTCTCAAGGATTTCCGGCGGCCATGCATGAAAGTGAAGTTGCTCAGTCGTGTCCGACTCTGCGCAGCCCCATGGACTGCAGCCCACCAGGCTCCTCCGTCCGTGGGCTTTTCCAGGCGAGAGGACTGGAGTGGGCTGCCATTGCCTTCTCCAAGAATGAGATGAGCTGGCCACCATTTGATAAGGGAAGAGGTCCTTTCTACGGGGAGGGAGTCGCTCAGGCTTCTTAGGATCCAGCTGTGGCCTAGATGGATGGCATTTATTACAAAAGACTGAATCTCTCTAGAGTGAAAGGACTGTAAATTTTGAATTTAATGAAAATTCTTGGGAGAAGCTTCAGCCCACAGTCACTGGGCCCATCAGCCCCTAGGGAATAAAGAGACGTTCTTTAGTGGGAAGGTGAGGCCCAGGGGACTGGGTAAGCTCCCGGGTGATTGATTTTACTGTGGCTCTGTGCTTGGTCTTCCAGAGTTAACAAAATGGGGTGGAGATGCTTAAGAATGACCAAGGAGATATTCGTAGGGTGCAGTGTTGAAAATGGATATTCTTCATTGCCACTCTTGTGCTCGGTTGCCTGTTTGTAGATCTGACTTTAGGTGTGTACACATGATCTTGTGATCTTTGTGGAACATTCTAGACTGTGGAACACAGTAAGGTATGAAGTGGTCGCCTCTCATGGAATTGTGGGTGTACACTTCCTTTTTCATTGTTTTGTTGACTACAGATACTAGAAAATAGAGATAAACATTTATTAGTACTTTATCCTTCTTTCTAAGTTAGACCCTGAATTTCACAGAGGAAAATTTTACTACAGACTCAGAGTTGGGGTTTTATTGACCTGCATATTTTACGAGCACTGTGTGTCTTATAACAAACTAGATTTCCCTCCAGAAATTCACAGTGATGTCTGTGGCCCAGTTTTAACAAGCATGCAGAATTCCAAGGTGAGTGCGTGTTGCTAGCCTCGTTCTCAGCTCTACTTTTTCTTTCTGTCCTTATTTTTCCTTTATCTTGCTCACCTACTTCTAATTTATGTCACTTGATCATATTCCAAGTATCACTATATCTTTTCTAGAACAAGAAGTGGTAAAGGTAAGTAAAATAAATATTGGGTCAGCAAGTGTGAGCATCCTTTCTGTTTTATGATGATTGTTATTATTTTTTGTGTTAGTGCTTTCCAAATCATAAAACAAGTTTTACTGATTTCTTAAGTCCTCTGTTCTTAAGTGAGTTATTTTTTAAAATGAGCAGGTTTGTTTGTGACTATTAAAGTATTGTACAAGAATATTAGAAAATTTGGAAATAAAGTTGAATGTAAAATAGATAATTGTCATTATCAGTTCCAGATTTGTCTTCTAACTTTTTATGTCCAAAATTTTAATACCAAAGAAATCATATACAATTTCGTATCCTGCTTTTTTTCTTAAAACTATATTGAAACTATATTTTTGTTGTTAAAAATGTCTTGTAGGCATGATTACTGATAACTGTAGAATAATTATACCATAATTTCCTTGACCATTTTTTTTATTGTTGGATATTTAGATTCTTTGAGTTTATTTTAAATAATATTGCAGTGAACATCATTATACAAATATCTTTCCCACAATTTTAAAAAGTATTTTCTAATGATGGAGTCCTAGACATAGAATAGTAGCAATTAAAGACAAATATATAAAGGAGCTTCCCAGGTGGCATAGTGGTAAAGAATTTGCCTGCCAGTACGGGAGATGCAGGAGATGTGAGTTCAGTTCCTGGGTGAGGAAGATCCCCTGGAGTAGGAAATGGCAACCTGCTCCAGTATTCTTGCCTGGAAAATTCCATGGACAGAGGAGCCTGGTGGGCTATACAATCCATGGGTTTGCAAAAGCTCGGACATGACTAACTGACTGAACACACACACACATGAGCCACAAATAAAGGAGATAATTCAGGCAGATATTTTTAAAAGCTTACAATGAGGACAGCCTTCTTAACCAGTGACACTAAAAGTAGCAACCCTGAAGGGGAAAAAATGGATAAATTTGACTAACAATTTAAAAATTCTGTGTAATAAAAGCCATTTAGCAATTATGATAGGTTAAGTGGCTCTAAAGCATTTTCGCAAATGGAAAAGACTAGACTCACAAATTAAAAATAAACTTCTCTAGCAAAAGACGAAAAATATACAGCCAACAAGTATTCTAAAGGATATTAAATTGAAACAGTCATTAAATAAACAAAAGATACACTATTTTTCAGTTATAATTCCATCAAAGATAACCAGTATTGAGAATATATGGTTAGAAAATAAATTGGTCTATATCTGGAAATAGTTTGTTGATTAAAAATTAGTATACTCTTTCATCTTTCATATTTACTGTTTCATAATTTCAAGAGAATTATCAAACAGTTGTTCAGTGATGTTTACTCTAATGATCTATTGATTGAAAAATTGTAAATAACATAAATGGTTATTTGGTTCAATTATGGTATATCCATGTGGATTAAAGATGATTATGTAGATCTGAACTTACTGGTATAGAAAGATATCCAAGATGTATTAAAGAGATATAGAAAATATGAGTGACTATGCATAGCAAAAAACATGGAAACCATAATTGCATTTTTCTCTGTTTAGAGGGATGGTTTTTATTTTAGTTTTCTTTAATTTTCCTGAAGTTTTAAAATAAATGTGTCTAGTCTAAAAAGGAAGGAAAAACAAACAAAAAACAAAAGCAATTGCCTGAAAGTAAAATTGGTTACAGCAGAAATAAAACTTGTGTTTCATCATACATACTGCTTTTTGTGGTTATCAAAGATTGATTTCAAAGTTAGAGTAGAAATGTTACATAGACTATAATTCAGTGAAATGGTTTTGCAAACTATAATAAAGAGGAGCAACCAGTTGATACCATGTACCGCTTAGGAGTGCAGAAAGCAGAGCCCTGTTACAGTTCTGTTTACAATGAAAATGAGTTTCATTAGTTTGTCATCTTTCAAAATCTACTTCTCATGAGCCCATAATCATTGGCAAGTCCCCAGACAGAGGCTGTTGGGGGTGCTCTGCAGGGTCTTGAAGAACTTCCATTCCGTCTGCTTCCCTCCCATTGAGGGAACCGAAGCTCTGGGAGCCTTGGTCCTGTCCCAGAGCCGCCGGGACTGCCCCGGCCCCTGGCCTTGTTGTCACTCTTCTGTTGTTCAGTCGTGTCCAGCTGTTTGTGACCCCGTGGACTGAAGCACACCAGGCTCCTCTATCCTCCACTATCTCCCCGAGTTTGTTCAAACTCATGTCCTTTGAGTCAGTGATGCCATCTAACCATCTCATCCTCTGCCACCCCCTTCTCCTTTTGCCTTCAATCTTTGCCAGCATCAGGGTCTTTTCCAATGAGTTGGCTCTTCACATCAAAGTGCCAGGCTACTGCCCATGTTTCTGTCACCCTTGTGCCTAAAGATTCATAAATAGTGATTTAGATTTAAGTTTTTTCTTGCTCCTCTCTCTCTCTCTCTCTCTCTAGTTCTACAACACTAATTCCTTCCGGGAATCTTCTGATAAATCATAAATGCCTAAGTTAAACAAATGTGCCCATGTTTCCCGCCCTTACCTATGCTTCACAGGGGAAGGTTATGTTTCATGGGCATCGCTGGTGTGCAGAACTTTGGAAAGGGGAAAAGAGGCAGAAAGAGTAAGTTGGGGTTTAGTCCAAAATCGAGTCCTTTGGCTTCACAGTTTTGCTCAGTCTGTGAGCCTGGCTTCTGGGGAGGATGAAATCATAATTTTTGATGCCAGAGCTGTTCACTGGCTGCCTCTGTGATGGATGACTCTTGTTTATTTGTTGTGGAGATTTTTTGGTGCCATGGATTAAAACAGACTTTTGATGTGAAAGATTTCAATAAATTTGAAAAAGATAGCTCGAGCCATTTTTATTTTATGCTTTAAATTCTGAGAACTATGACTGTCATGTAGTCTGTACCCTCATAGGGAAAAGTGATGTATCTGAGACATAATTTTGGTTTGGACTAATTAATGTATAACAATCTTGCTTTGATATAAATTCATTTTATTTAGTATTGGTTTTTGTGGTTAAGTGTTGAAATCACATTTCAAAAACCTTAAATTCAGGGAAGGGGATGTGATTAATATTTTTCCTGCCATACAATGATATTTTAGTATTGTTTCCTTCTAGATTAAAAAAAATCATCTAAAATGCAGTATAGTTTCAGGCTTATGGTCCTGGTAGGATATGGCAGAGTAGGCGAAACCTTTTCTATTTTCATCTAATCTGGTTCCTAAATGAGCAGGTAATCTGTTATCTCTACTTTTTGTTTTTCCTCTGCCTTTGGCAAAACTTGTCAGCATATTTAGCAGAAGGTGGAAACATATATATATATATTTTTTAACAGAGTCACAGATTTGGATTCAGTAAGCAAGATTCTAAGTGGAATTACGCTGTGTGTGTGTGTGTGAGTCACTCAGTTGTGTCCGACTCCTTTTGACCCCATGGACTGTAGCCCGCCAGGCTCCTCTGTCCATGGAATTCTCCAGGCAAGAATACTGCAGTGGGTTGCCATTTTCTTCTCCAGGGATCTACTAGAAGAAATTTTCAAAGTTAAGCTTGGAGAAGATGAATCAAATGTTTTCTAAACACAATTCTGGGGGATAGTTCCATTTCCTGAGGGAGGGGAATGAAATCTCGACATTTTCCGTATAGATCCTTGAAATGTTTAACTGGACCCCACGCCTAGACTCGTCATTCCATCCTGGTGAACCCTGCCGTGTGGTTAGCGTGTTAGGTGGAAGGAAAGTGTGTTCTTGCCCAGTTAGGTTATCCAGAAAGAGCTTTTTTCCTTCCCTTCTGCCAAGACAGCTGCTTTTTCCTTACCCTGATTGTGTTCTGCTCTTCTCATCTGCAGAGTACTCGGGTGGAGTTTGACCTGCCAGAATATTCTGTCCGTCGAAGATACCAGGATTTTGACTGGTTGAGGAACAAACTGGAAGAATCCCAGCCCACTCATCTCATTCCCGTAGGTACTAAGTCAATACAGCTTGTTACTCACTTTTCCTTCTTTCTCTTTCCTGTTCACTCAACTCTCACCCCTCGAATTATGGGCCAACACTGCCTTACATTTTATACCAGATCCACTCATCAACTGTTCATTTTGTGGATGCTGTATAATTAGTTCACATTTTGGGTTTTGACTTCTGATCTGCTATATAGTATGCTGGTTTCTTGGGTGGAGTGGGGTAGATTTTCACATTCCTTGTGACAAGGAGGTTTTTTTTTTTAGGTATGGAGAGTCCTAGTTCTCATTTGCCGCCGCCTCAAAGGCTGGCTGTTTCACCCTTCCTAGATACAGTTCTGAGGTTTGGAGAGCTGCCACCAGCTGGAGAAAGGTGCCTCAGATTACAGCTGGCCGGGTTTTCTTTAGACGTGGGTAATTCAGGGAGCAGGGGTCTAGCACACAATCCATCAACCATAGCTTTTCCTTTAAAACAACAAACCCAAAGCCGTCTAACTCTATTTGTTGAAGAAGCATACTACTCATCCGTTACTTTCAGTTCAGTTCAGTTGCACATTAAAAAAAAAAAACTAGAACAAATAAAATTTAAAAGACTACTTAAAATCAGCATACATGTGGAGTACTTCTCTGACTACTTTCTTTTTGAAGTATAAATAACTATTTAGATCCTAGATGTGTCTTGCACTTTGGGGCTTTAGGGAAATTTGGGTCATGAAACAGTTCAGCAGGGCTTTATCTTTCAGTAAAAACCTTGGCTGGGTAACTTCTCAGCACTGCCTACTGCATCTTCCAGTCATCCCCTCATGGTTGGAAGAGGCTGACTGTGCTGTGAACACTCCGGCAGTTTTCTTAATTTTCAAGCCAGAAGTGGCCATGTTGCTACTGCTGTGATGAGAATAAACCCCACCCCCCATCCCCCACTCCCATTCGCTCTGCTCTTGAAGTCTGAAGTTTTCCTTTTCCTTCTTCTGATCACTTAAAGACATGCCAAAAGAAAAAAAAAGCCTATAGTTTGTAAGCAGTTGAAACTATTCCTTAAAAATATTAATTTGGCAAAATTGGCAGCTAGTGAATTTTTTTAAATAGACTTTTATTTTAGAACAGTTTTAGATTTACAGAATTATTGAGAAGACAGTACAGTGAGTTCTCATAGGCTTCACAGCCAGTTTTGCTTATTATTAACATTTTCTGTTAGCATGGCACGTTTGTCACAAATAACGAACCAGTACCACGGTACATTTAGCTGTCGTGTTTCCGAAGTCCCAGGCCGTTCTTGGTTGTGACGGTTTCTCAGGCTTTCCTGGTTTGGGATGACCTGGATAGCTTTGAGGAGTACTGGTCAGGCATTTTGTGGAATGACCCTCAGTTGAGATTTGTCTGGTGTTTTCCTCGCAGTTAGCCAGGTGTGAAGTATTTTGTGGAGGAAAAGCACAGAGGTTAAGTACAATCCTCATTACATCATGTCAAGGATACATACTATCATTAACGGTATTTATCACTGTTGATGTTAATCTTGTTCACATCATTGGAGGTAATGCTTGTCAGGTTTTTCCGCTGTACAGTTACTCTTTTTTTCCTCACCTTTGTACTGTATTGGAAGAAAGTTGCTTTCTGTGTAGTTCATACTATGCATAAGGGGAGTTAATGCGCCACCTCCTGGCAACTGGGTGAATTTGAAGTTCCGCACTTAAAGATCAAAAGTTAGACAGCGACACCTGCTGGCAAAACATAGTCGCCTCATGTGTAGACACTGAAGCCAGAATTGAGACTGGAAGTCTTCCAGAATGCCCAAGGTGAATTTTTAAGTCTGTATCTTTAACCAGTATCTTTAAGTCTGGTTTCCTTTGGTCTGGGTAGTAGCATTGAATAGAAGGTACTTTTGAAGCATGTAGAGATTTAAATTTCTTTGTAAATTCTTAGTGCATATCTGGGGAGGAGAGAGATTCAGTGTAGGAGAGCATCTCTGACTTAAACATGGAAGTCAGACTGGAAACAAACTATTTTTCCCCCCCCAGAAGTTCATTTTACAGCAGCTTTACTAGGAAGTGATTGTCTGTTATTAACAATCGACTTTGTGTTGGTCCTTTTACCACCCTTGGGAAGGTGAGGCGATATAAGATGGACAAAGACTCCTATCCAGGAGAGTTTATCAGAGGGAGACCCAGTAAACATATAACATAATTATTGTTTAAATTTTCATTTCTGTTTTTTTTTTTTTTGGAAAAGCTTTATTGAGATCTGATTCATATACCGTATAATTCACCCATTTGAAAATACAAGTCAAGAGCTTTTAGTGTATTCATAGAGCCATCAGCAGATTAGTTTTAGAACCTTTTCATCACCCCTAAAAGAAACCTCTTACTCCTTGCCTGTTAATTCCAAACCCTGTCTTCCCCAGCGCCTGGCGACCACTACTCTACGTGCTGTCTCTATAGATGTGCCTATTTCTGGACATTTCGTATAAGGAGAATCATACACAATGGTCTTTTGTGAGAGGTTTTTTTTTTTTCATAGCATAATGTTTTCAGGGTTCGTTTATGTTCTAGCACGTGTCAGTCAGTACTTTTTTATTGTCAGATGAGTGTCCCTTCTATGGATTTATCACATTTTCTCTGTTCGCTATCTTTGATGAACAGTTGGGTTGTTTTCACTTTTTGGCTGCTGTGAGGAATGCTGCAATGAGCATTCATGTATAAGTTATTGTGTGGACATATGTTTTCATTTTTCTCGGGTGTATACCTAAGACTGTGATTGCTGAATCATGTTTAACTGTGCATTTAACCTTTTGAGGAACTGCCAGACTGTTCTCCAAAGTGGCTGCATCATTATACGTTCATGCCAGCAGTGTGTGAGGGTTCTCTTTCCTCCACATCTGCATCAACCCTGGTTATAACCTTTCTTTTTGATAACGGCCACCCTAGTGGGGATGGATTGGTATCTCTCTCTGATTTTGATTTGCATTTCCCTGACAGCTAACATCCAACCGTCTCATTCTCGTTCGCTCCCTTCTTCTTCTGCCTCAGTCTTTCCCAGCATTTCCCAGTTTCCAACATTCCCCAGTCTTTTCCCAGCGAGTCGTCTCTTTGGATCAAGAGGCCAAAGTTTTGGAGCTTCAGCATGAGTCCTCCCAATGAATATTCAGGGCTGATTTCCTTCAGGATTGACGGGTTTGCTCCTTGCAGTCCAAGCGACTCTCAAGAGTCTAGCACCAAGTTGTCTTTTTATTATTGCGTTAAAATGGTTCTTTATATAATCTGGATACTAGTCCCTTCTCAGATATATGATTTGCAAAAGTTTTCTCCCATTTAATGACTTGTCTCTTTATTTTCTTGATGGTATCCTGTGAAGTACAAAGTTTTAAATTTTTAATGAAGTCCGGTTTACCTATTTTACTTTGTGTGTGCTTTTGGTGTTTTAGCTAAGAAACCATTGCCTTATCCCAGGTCATAGAGATTTACATCTATGTTGCTCTCTAAAATTTTTATAATTTTAGCTGTTACATTTAGGTCTTTAACCTATTTTGAGTTTGTTTTTGTACAGTTAGTTTTCATTATCCAGTGAGTGAAGCTGGATATCTTCCTGTGACTTTACTGGAGGCTGGCATTTCTTTTACGAATTGCCTCTTCATTTTTAAATATTTTTCCTCATTGTTTTGTGAATACTCTGTATATCTGCAAAGGACATTAACCAGTTGACAATATCTATTTTTTCTTAGTTACCTTTTGTCTTCAGCTTGACTCTGTAATAGATAATATCCATTCCCTCCCAGCCAAGGTAATTTTTCCCATACAGTTTCTGTCTTTGAAACTTGTTTCTAACCTAGGATTTTTTTTTTTTAAAGGTTATATATTTTCTTCTATTACTTTTATGTCCTCATGTTTAGTGCTTAAAGCGCGAGTGTATTTTGATGGGAGATGGGAAGATCTTATTTTTTTCAGATGGTGAGTTGTCCCACAACCACTTAGGAGTAGTCAGTCACCTATATCATAGCTCGCATATTAGACTCTGTCATGCATTAGATTTGTATAGTCTTGGGCTGTTTCTGAACCTTCTGGTTCATCAAGCTCTTTAGTGTGGTATCCCTGCTACACTATTGAATTATTATAAGTTTACAGAATGTATCAGCATCTGGTTGGATAGGTCCCTATCTCTACCCACAGTATTCTTTATTTTCCGAGTTTCTCTGGCTATTTGCACATGCTTTGTTTTTCAAGTGAATTTTAGACCTTTACTGAATCAGCTGGAAAATTGGGAATGATGGTGGAGAAATGGATTTTTTGGTGTGGTGTTTTTTTTGTTTGTTTGTTTTGTTTTTTTGCCAATTTAATCAGCTGTGGTTAAAATTTTGTGAGAATTCCTGAGCTTTCAGAGCCTGCTGCTTATGTTGGGAGCACGGAGATAAAGTCCCCACTTTTTGGAGGGCTTCACTGGAGCCATGTGAAATGGTAGATACATAGCCAGCCAGACTATGGTTCTGGGGAGGCCCCCAGCTTCTTCATTCGCTTCTTCCTGTTAACTGCCCTGATGCTTGCCCTGTTTTCAGCCCCGGGGGCTCTGAAGTTGGTAGCTTCTGGGGCTCTACCAGGGAGACTCAACCCCTTACTTCCTAAGTCAACTCTTTCTTTGCCTGAATAGTACCACCAGATGGTTAATAGTGATGGGTTTTTCTCTCAACCCGCTCTTTTTTGCTTTGTGTCTTTAAAAAATTCTGTCCTATTAACAGTACCATTATATTCTCTGGTGCTGCAAAAAAAATTTTCTCTTTTTATATTGCTTTGCTTTTCTGGAATTTGAAATGCAGAGAGAATCAGATGTTTTTCGAATGGCATCCTAAAGCTAGAGTTGTGCTGGATGTGTATGTTTGTCATCTCGTAATGGCAGTTCACTTTGTTTTTCTTTGTAATCTGACAGTGGGAGCCGCCAGAGTCTTCACTGTGATGTGGTTTTTGCTTTTTAATTTACATTTTGTCTTAGAAGTTGGCTTTAACACTGCTTCATTAACT